GTTATCATATATTAAAAGGTTACACGTAAGTTACAGGGATGTTACAGGCAGATTACAATGACTAATACCGTGGATATAACTCTTTGTACCCTCAGTGTACCTCAATATCACACTGCCAACCAAATTTTTTCGCACTCATGCGGCACAACTAACATTTGAAGCGACCCTTGAATTCCGGATCCGTATGTAATCTGTTTTCAATTGCTTGAGGGGCATTAACACTAATACCATTTGTTAGATTCTGTTGGCGACTAGCATCTCCTCCTTCACAGCCATACCCTTGCTTTTGATAATTTTGACCTCTCTAGTTTCGAAGCAGAAGCAGCTGAGCGATGGTTTGCGAGAAATGTAAGCATCGACTTTTTCCATTTTCTGTCAATCGGAACCTTAGGGCGTTAAGTTTTTCAACCAATGTTCGATTTCAGGCGAGAAGAAGCTCTCAAAAGTGATCGTACCGGATAAGTGGAAAGAGGGGGCGAGTAATACAACCGAAGGCGGCGGAAGGAAGATCAACGAGAACAAGCTCCTGTCCAAAAAGCACAGGTTTTGCTCGCTGCTCCTTGGAGATAGGATAAAGAATCTCTATTGATTTGTTATTTATTTTTTCTGTCTTTCCTCGCCATTTGTGGATATGTGGACTTGCTAGACATCGTCGCTGGATGAGTTATATAATTAGGGTTTTTCAAAGAAGATGTGTGTCGCTTTGAATTGGAAGTTTGGATTCTATTTCGAAAGATGCGAACATTTCAATTTAAATTCTTAAAAGAATCTTAGTGGAGAGAAAGTAAAAATTAGGGGTTAATCTTCTTAGGAAAAGTTTTATGTCATTTTTTTTAATTTAATGTTGAAAATCATATATGTCCTTACAGAAAGAAAGAAACATGAATAAGGTATGACTGGGTGGAAATGAGCTTTTATTGTTTTATTAAAACAATATTAATCTGAGATTTTGGGTATTATCAATATTTCTTTAAGCTATTTCCTTTCTTTTTTCATAGTTCTTTCTGGGAGAGAAACAAAATTCTTAATGTAGAGGAGAAGTTTTTTTAGCCTTCTGAAGTCTCAACAAAAAGAAAACTTTCACTTTCTTTCTAAATTTTTTGTAATATCAGCCAAATTTTGAAGGGCAAAATAAATTTACATCCTCTATTCTTAACTTTCTTTTAATTCTGAATGATTTATTCCGTGTGCATAGCATGAGTTTATTGACTTATTTATTCATTGATTTTATTGCTTGGTTCTTCTATATATAAATAAGAAGAATTTTAGTGGTATGTGTGAAAATTTCCCTTCTAATTCATAATGCAAGTGATAGCTGATTTCTCTCCTACTTTTTTGCATGGAATGAAATAAGTTATGGAGCAATCACCCATCACAATTTTCTTATCATTAATTCTAGATTTTGAAAAAGTAAGGCCACTTTTTTCCTACATATACATTGAGTAATGTCCCCCTTCTCTGGTATTAGATTCAAACTAAGGTATCCACTTCTAGATGTCATATTTTTTTATTATTACTTTTTCTACAATTAAAATAAACGTCTCTGTAACTTACCTGTGCTTCTGCACTTAAAATAATTTTTTTTCTATGTAACTTAACAATTTATTGGAAGATGTGGAAGCCGTGATCCCTACCCTTTCATTAACTTTTTTGAAAGAGAATGGGCCAACAATGCGAGAAAGTGAATGGGCCAATTTGGCTGCATATGCATTCTATGGAAATTGTGTGAGTTTTGGTTTTTCAAATAATTAAAAATGCGATTTTTTTTTTGGTACTTCCAATCGAACATTGGAAATGTTAACTAATATCAAGAGAAGTATATTACATCAATTTTACTTGCAACCAAATAACTCTTAATTTATTTTTTCTGTTTTCTTTTATCATGCTCTTAAGTTCCATTCTTCAATTTAGTGTGTGTAGGGAGGGCCAAGATTTGACATCCCCATATTTTTGGTTCTGTAATGTTTTTTCTGTCAGCCTTTCACGTAAAAGTTTCATCATGATTATGAATGCCTTGTACTTGAAAATGTCAATCTCTGTCAATGAGGAAGGATCGACAAGATGGAAAAATACTATGCTTGACTATTATTATTTGATCCTAATCTCTAAGATGCATCAACCCATCTACAAATTTACATTTATAGGAGATTTACACTCTGGATTGACATTTTTTTTTTAATTTTCATGATTTAATGAACCAATGATGACCACTCTCTCTCTCACTGCTCTCTCTCCTGCCTAATTTGAGCAAGATTTTTTTGTACATCTAATTAATGGCAGTTATAACCAACTGCTTGATTGATTGGTATTCTCTTTGATTTCTAAAATGGAATCTCAAGGTTTAAAATTTAAAAAAAGGACAAAATGACTAATTATAATAAGTGACCAACTTTACTTGAATTGAATTGAACTCCATTTAGTACTATTTGGCATGAAGTTTGTTAATATGTCTCTTTTTTCCCCCCTAGGTGAGAAGTTTTTTTTTAAGAAAACATGCTTCGAAGCTTATTTTCCTACGAGAAAGTGAATCCTCAAACTATGGCAACGAAACTTCACATTTTTGCGTTGCTTCCGAATTTGCTATATCTATTTGTTTTTGAAGAATAGATACCCCGAGGCATCTCTATATTAAGTATAACACATGCTTTACACATTTTTGGACAGACGTTTTCATGTTCTATGAATTTTTGTGTGTATTTTATAAAAAATGCATTTTTAATTTTATCCACATAGTCTATCAAGTTATTTACCTTTTAAGTTGATCTAATGATTATTGGCTATTAAAGGGCAATATACGCGGTTTAATTTTAAAAAGCATTAAATTTATGATGTTTTAAAGGCCTTTAAGCGAAGATAAAATCAACACTTTTCAATCTCTTCCTTTTCACTCTATGGCTTGGGAAACTAATAATTGTCAATCAATAGTTCAAAGGATCAAATGATTTATAGCTTTGATGGTTTTTAGTGCTGTACTCGATCATGTAAAAAGATGGAACTTCAAGAGTTCAAATTTTGTTTCTTCAACCACAATTAAACATTGGAGAAGTGAAAATGTTTAGATTGATGCATGACAAAACATTGAAGGATAGAGTTTGTGATAATAAGATTTGAGTGGTTGTGGTAGTGGCACTTAGGGGAAATGCCATGCCTAGTTTGAGCTAACTAGCCTCAACTTGAAATCAAAGATATAATTTAAATTCAAGTCAAATTGAGTCAAGCTGTACATGATCAATTTCAGCTCAAGTTTCCTATTGTATTTAATCGTATAAATATTTTTCCAATGACTATTCAAGATTATGGATTCTTATATGGTATGTGTGTATACGTGCATATATCATTTATTGGGCTGATTTTAACCCGAATTAAACTCAATTTGAGCAAAGACACTTTAGTTGGCATAAATCTATTTCAAATCAATTGAAAATCGAGTTTTTATCAAGGTTTGATAGCGGTTTTGATTCAGGTTAATTGGCATAGTTTGGATTTGACCTGAAATTGACATGACTTGAAGCAGTGGGACTCAACCAAACCATTTATTATACGGTTCAGAATGCCTGAATTGAACCCAACCGAACACACACTCAATTGTCCTGAATCCGACACTTGTGCTTGTTTAATGTATGGTTCATAAAAATAGTCTCAAATCTCAATAAAGGTTTGTTAATCCAAGCATGACCTGTTGAGGTGAATGAGGGTGGCAAACTAGTAAATGAAATGATCTATTTTAAATTTGAAAATTAAATAGATTATTTTTTAGTTGATTTTAGGTTTATGGGTTGAATCACTAAAATATTAACATGTCGGCATTTTAGACCTGAGCCTAACCCGTACTTCAAGCCAAACCTAAATTTTTATTTTTCGATTGGTGACTGTGTTGGTAGTTTGTCTTGGGTCATTTATTGACATTTTTACCTGCTGTGAAAAATAAATTTAGATTTTTAAGCATTTTTTACTGACACATAAAATGTACCAGTAATATGGGTGAATTTATGTGAAGCAATGTGTGTAGGAAGGAAATGGTTTGGTTCAATTTCGCAAGAAAATTTTAATAAAGACTTATATTATTGAAAGTTGATAATACTATTAAATTAAATGAATGGAGAATAAAAATTCTTTCAAACCAACCCTTTTTGCATTATGTTTAATGATAATGCTATTCATTTTTATGTGTGACTCGACAATTGTCTTCATTGACCCGGTCAACTCATTTCATTTCATTCTTTTTTCCCTTTACTAAATGAAATCATATTTTCATGCTGAACATGTTCTAATGCATATCAATGTTATAATTGGATTTTGAAATTGTGGTGTTTTGCTTGATATTGAATTAATCATATATCTCAATCTCTCATGCATACGTGCTTAGGAATACATATGCCCATTTGTACGTGCTTACTGTGTATTACATCATACATGCGTGCATTTAAATACAACAAATATGTACACATACAAAGATACAAACATGTATTTAAGATAGCCACGCCGACATACACAAGCCTCCACCTTCACCATGTGATCTGGAACTTATTTGCTAACATGAAGGCAAGATAAATTTTGGAAGTAATACTGATGTTTATGTTGGATATCTTGGGAAAAGATATAGGCATCCTTTGTGGGTCTGACATTCCTTTTTTATGCACTAGGGATAGTAGATCAATTTTTTTTTCTCATTATTCATTCCATCTATTTTTGTGATTACATAATTCTAAGATTCTACTGCCTATTATATGGGTGGGATTTGATTCTCATCCATTTATATAACGGGGCATTTACACCCAAGTCCATTTATACATCCCAAATATTTCATATCACATAAAAGATATTACTATGAGGGGCATTTACACCCAAGTCCATTTATACCACCCAAATATTTCATATCACATAAAAGATATTACTATTTAACCTTTAAAAAGTGAAATACATCATTCATGTCATGACCCGACTTGATAGCTTAGAATTAAATTATTCAGGAACTACGGTTGGATGTTATTAACATCTAACTAACTATCCACATATTTAGAAACTTATAATATATAAAAGAGTCACTAAGAAATCACAAGTATACCGTACAAAAATCAAAACATCCAAAAATAACAACAAAGTCTGTGTAAATAACATTCCAATCTAGCATATAATTGTATATCACTACCCAAAAGACAACAATATATATAAAAAAAAAACTACAATCACATAATAACATAATTATTATCGGCTGTAGTTTCTCCTGTCAAACATTTATTTATCTACAACATTTTTTCGTGCAAAAAATTATTAAATTCAATAGTAAATTCATGGCCTAGTGAGCAAATATAATCTTAATATGCATTAAATTTATGTGCAAATGTTATGTATGAAGGATAAAAAGAAAATGCAGTTCATTACTTTATTAAACTGTAAACTTTTTTTTTAAATTTATCCTGTCCCATTTCAATTTATGTATTTATACTTTTTAATCTTCTTAAGAATCATATCAGGATTATCGTCATAATCGAAGATATCCTCAAAATTATACCCGTATGTACTCTAAAAAATTACACTTGAATGTATATCTTTACCATTTCCTTTATCGTGTAGGTATATCGCATCCCCTGTCAGTATCATCTATGGCTAATCCTTATTGACTTGAGCCACTTTACATTTCACTTTTTTTAATTACTTCAATTTAAGGTCTTTGAAATCACCATTCTCCTTTTTTATTTTCACATCATTCATTTCAGAAATTCTTTAATCCACAACATGCCTCTGATTATAAAAACATTTTATGAAACAATAAAACTGTTCTTTATTAAATAATACCCTAATTTAATACACATAAGAAAATAATTACTAACCTGCTTAAAAGATCTCATAAAATTTTCCTGCCACTTCTTTTGACTGCCACATGTATTAAATGAATGCACATACTTTTAGATAAGAATACTATTTCTAAATGAATGACTAAATCATTTAATTATAGATAATTTTTTAATCAAATATTCTTCTCAATTCTACTTATGAAAATTAATATCTATCTAATGCTATTAAAATAGTTGTACCTCGCTCCTTACAAAAGCCACGATCCAAAGACCTAATCTTTTGAATTAAACTTTCTTAAATCTTTGATTCAGATCATAATGTTAGCATTGATATAAAATTATTAATTACTATAAAATCTTTAATATACACACCGCTAATCGAGCTTCTCCTTTGAACAGGGCTCAACCCAACGTAGTGAAGTTTTCTCCTTCCCTCTTCTCCACAAATTTTAGGATTTAATAGCTTTAATCTTGATATCACATTCACTTAAATTTAATATATACATGTATGTATATGTATACATGTATGTATATGCTTTAAATAACAAACTAATAGCTTTAATCTTGGGTGGGTGGGTGCGTGCGTGCTGCCGTGCAGCCTTAGCCCTCGCAGATGCTTCCAGATATGTGTATATGTATAGATATGTGTATATGTATATGTAGATGTGTATATGTATATGTAGATGTGTATGTGTATCTGTGTATGTGTATGTGTATGTGTATCTGTGTATGTGTATGTGTATATATGTGTATGTGTATATATATATGTGTATATATATATATGTGTGTGTATATATATATATGTGTGTATATATATATATATATATATATGTGTGTGTTCCTAATTAAGGATGTATTCCTTAAGATTTGCTTATATGCTTCAATTGTTGCTAATATATAAAAAAAATTTCTCAATTTACTAAGACAATTTCATATCTTCATATTGATATGATGTGATAGTTAGCTTTCTGATTTTACTTGCTATACAAATTTCTGAATATTTATGTAAATCACATTAACTGTTAAAAAATACCTACTATTCATACAATCATGAAATATGTTGATGTGTTACAGGTTTTTATCATAATAATGACAGTCTTCGTTGGAGAATCTTAAATGTAATATAATTTTACGTAATGTATGCTTGTGTACATGATGCATGTAATGTCACCAAAACCTTGGATATATTGGCTACATGGGCTGACTGCTGCACAGAGTGATAACCCTTTTATTCATGCCTCTTTTAATATCGCTCTTATTTATGCTACATGCCTTATTATTTACACTTTACTCAATGCATATATATATATATATATCTGTGTGTGTGCGCGCGCGCGCATTAATGCAACCTTAGCCCTCGCAGATGCTTCCATCTTCCCCTATCCTTCTGTCTTGACTCCTCTACGTCCGCTACTTCGCATAGTAGTAGTGCACGAAGCCGCCTCCTCCTTCCTTCTTTTGCTTTGGTCTCCTTTGACTAGGGTTCCACACACCAGAACACAACTAGCAGTGTCAAAGTCGATCCACTGCTCACACCTTCACGCAGAGCTATTCCTCTTCCTCTGCACGCAACCACAGTGGCAAAGCCGCTGGACTAGTGCTCTGCTTGCAAGGCCTTTGACTAGGGTTAGACACTCCAGAAGACAATGAGCAGTGTCAAAGTCGGTCTTTCTTTGCTTGCACCTTCATGCAAAGCTATTCCTCTTTTTTTGCACGGAAAGACAGTGTTGAAGCTGCTCTACTAGGGCTCGGCTGAGAAGGCTTGTTAACCCTTCCGCACGCATGCAAGGTTTGCTCCTATAATTTGTCCTTCCTCCTTAGGTCAGCATGCGTAAGTTTCTTCTTCTCTTCCTAATTAGGGCACGACTTCTTTTTTATTATTTTCCTCTCCTGCTATCTCTCCTGGCTCGTTCTCGCTGGATATGAACGAAGCACGCCCCTTTCGACTTATAATAGCCGAATCGTTCGACGGTTTCTTATTATAGTTTTATTTTAGTTATTACAATTCACACATACTTAGGTAGTGCGGCATATATGTAAAAATTGAAGTTTAGGTGTTAGATATGTAAATACATAAGAATTGTGTGATATGTTTGTAAATGTTGCTTATTTATAGTGATTTAGCTTGTTATTTCAAGTTATTGTAGACTATTGAATTAATAGAATGCTCATTGTCACCAATTTCTGCTATCTTATAATTACTGTTTTTTGCTCTTACTCGGTCTAGAGCTTTAGTTCTCATTCTCCCATCCTGGATTTTCTTTCAGATGGACACCTTATGGAAATGCAAAATGCATTATCTGTAAACAGCAAGTTCACCAAGATGCCAAATACTGCCATACCTGTGCTTACTCGAAAGGCAAGTCACTAGTGCTTTTAGTTTAATTATCCACGCTTAATTCATTTTGCTTATTCACTTGCTTATTTGAATAGTTAAATTGCTAATTAGACGTATTGGTATAATTATGAAAATTCTGGATTGAGTTTCTCCATTGTTTCTCTACCGTCATATATAGTGCAAAAAATTAATGGAGTTCAGACACACAGTTTGGAAGAGAGCTTTAAGTGAGCTAAGCCAGCTCTTGAGCTCAAGCTCAACTCTATAACGAGCTCATGAGCTGATCTTATTGGGCCACTACAGCTTGAGCTTGAGCTTGAGCTAATAATACCACTCAAATCTATAATTGAGCTAGAGTTCGGGTATTGATCGACTTGACTTGATGGCTTATCAAACCGCTCGAATATCCGACATCGGTGTTTTGGCCCATGAATAGCAAAACAACAAAATAATAAGAAGCTTTTAAAACCTAAAATTTAAAATTTCTTTCCCAATATCACTCTTCAACACTGCTTACGATGGGTTGTAGTGCACTTTTCTGTTTTCCACCACATGCATTTTCTCATTGGTATCTTGCTCCGCCTTTTGCAAGTTGTGATTGCAAGCTCATTTTGTCTCTTGCAACTCATAGAACTACGGAGTTGATTATAAGGAGACATTTGCTCTAGTGGCTAAGTTAAACAATATTCGGGTCCTTGCGGTGAATATGGATTGGTCTTTATTCCAACAAGAAGTCAAGAATGCATTCTTGAATTAAGAGCTGACATAAGAGGTATACATGTCTCTCCATCCTGGTTCTGATTCTACTGCCTCCAGAGAACAATTGTGCAGGCTACAAAAGTTCTTTTATGGGCTAAAGCAACCCTCAAGGGTCTGGTTCGACAAATTCACAAAGGTAGTCTTAGGTCATGATTTTAGTCAGGCTCAATTCGATCACGCCCTCTTTTTTCGATACTTTTCCAATGGCGAGGTAGCTATCTTTATTGTCTATGTTGACATTATTGTTCTTACAGGTAACGATCTCCCATCATTGGAGTCGTCCTTCGAGATGAAGAAATTGGGATCATTGCGATACTTCTTAGGCATGGAAGTTGCTCGGTAATTTCGGGAAATTTGCCCGTCACAGCACAAATATGTGATTGATTCATTGACATAGAATAAAAACCTTCTTCTGTGCAAACGTGTTGTTGTTCTTATGAATCCTAATGAAAAATTATCTGACATTCTCAATGCTGTCCCTGTCAACAAAACTCATTACCAACGCTTTGTGAGAAAAGTCATCTACCTGGCTCATACTCGCCTTAACATATGTCCCGTAGTTGGAATTGTGAGTCAATTCATGCATGACCCCTACGAGTCAATTCATCCAAACTGTCCACCAGATTCTCCACTACTTAAAAGGTACACTGGGCCCACGTTTGTTTTTTTTCCGCCACACCTCTTGGTATATTGTTGTTTATATAGATGTTGATAGGACTAGCTCCATTCACGATCGACGTTCCACCTCGGGATATTGCTCATTTATATGAGGCAATCTTGTCATGTGGAAAAACAACAAACAGTCTATGGTTGTCTGAAGCAGCACTGAAGCTGAATTCAGATCCATGTTCTTAGGAGTTTGTGAAGCTCTTTGGCCACACGTTATATTCTGCGAACTTCGTATGCCAACCTTTGTTCCGCTGCAGCTATTCTGTGATAATAATATCTCAATCAACATTGCTCACACCCCAGTTCAGCATGATCGTACCAAACATGTGGATACCGACATACACTTCATTAAGGAAAAGATTGAATCCGGGGAAATTTACGTTTCATATGTGTCCTCTAGTGGTCAAGTTGCGGATATCCTCATAAAAAATTTGCCTCATCTTTTCTTCGATGACTATAACTCCAAGTTGAACATGACTGACATGTATGCTTCAACTTAAGGGGGAGTATTAGATTATAACGGTTATCCTCACGTTGATATTGCTTATTGTTTGATTTTATTATTTTATTCCCTGATTATGTTTCTTCTTTTGTTTTATTTTGTTTTATTTTCTTTCCTAATTATTTTATTATGTTTTTATTGCTTTCCATTACTATGCCTATTGTAATTGGGTTTAAATTTCCCTCCTCTTATCAATAAAATTGTGTAGCTCTATTCCAAAATCTCAACACTTTTTTATAGTATCATGGAGACCTTAAATTTTTTTGGAAAATGTAAATGCTAAATCAAAGAATGCATGAGATGGGAGATTGATTGCATCAGTGGGTCGTTTGGGAGTTGATAGTTAATTCAGCCTATTATTAATGTTGATTATATTCTATCATATGAATGGGCTAAAAACAAATAACAACATCGTTAATAATATTGATTTAAAAATTCTAACATTATTTTTATTTAAATTTTATTTCATTTACATAGTCTTTTTTTATTGATTCTAAACTCTATGTTCTAGATATTTACTTTATTATTTTAAATTTTCACTTTTTTTAGTGAATATTTCATCAATTAAAACTATCATATAACAAACAAGCAAGCTACATCAATCCTTTTTCTCCATTGTGCCCTATTGAGTGTCATATTTTCATTTAATTTTAATAAATTACGATACTTTCTTGTACATAATGCCCAAGTCTTTTTCGGTCCACCTCTACCCTTTTTAATATAAGTCAAATCTAAAACATATTTTCTCCTAACTGGTTCATCAGATAGTCCACATTTGATGCAGCAAACCATCTAAGGAAACTCTTTCTAATCTTGTCTGAATTATTCATTTTATGAATATATTCGTTTAACATTTGGTTTCTAAGTATAAAGCCACTCATCCATCCAATTATTCTTACTCAACTACAGTTAACTTAATTCTATGCTTCTCTTTTATAGGCCAACATTTTGCACTATAAATCATTGTAGGTCTAACCACTATCTTATAAAAATTATCTTTCAATTCTATGTGGTCCTTTTTCTGTCACACAATAGGCCAATTGCATTCCTCCACTTCAACCATTCAACTCAACTTGAATTCTTGAATTCTACTAATAACATGCCCATTATATCATCGTCACTTTGAACAACATACCTGATATATCTAAACATTTACTTCTTTTAATGACTTACCCATAATTACAATTCCACTATTATATCTATTACTGCTAAAATTACATTTCATGTATTCCGCTTTATATCTACTCAAACGAAAGCTTTTAGATTATAAAGTTGACCTCCATAATTCAAGTAATTCTTGAATTCTCCTTCTAGTCTTATTCACGAGAAGGTCATCATTAGTGAAAAGTATACACTAAGGTTCATTCTCCTATAAATGTCTAGTAAGAACATAACTAAAACAAATGATATGGGCTTAAAGCTGATCCTTGTTGTAATCCAACTAAAGTAGGAAAATACTTGGTCAATTATTCTTGTTTCCTTGTGTTGAAACAAAGGTAAGAACTCTAGTATACATATCTTTAATGACTTGAATATAAACAATATCAACACCTTTCCTTTTTAGAACTTTCCAAAATTCTTCTATTGGAACCTTAGCATAAGCAAATCAATAAAAATCATATTTAGATCCCGATTACTTTCTCTAAATTTCTCTATCAAACCTTTCAATAAATGTATAGCTTTCATGGTAGACTTGCCTGTCATGAATCCAAATTGATTTTGAGAAATTTCTATATCCCATTGTAACCTATGTTCAATTACTCCTCTTATAGCTTTAATGGATAACATATTAACTTAATTTCTCTATAATTTTCACACTTTTTTGCATTCCTATTATTACTAAAACTGGAACCAGTGCACTCTTACTTCACCCATCAGGCTTTTTTTAGTTTTCAAAATAATATTGAAATGTTTAGTAATTCAATAAATTTTCATATCTCCTAATAACTTCCATAATTCTATTTGAGTACCATCAGGTTTAATATTTTTCCATACTTCAATTTTTTTAAACCTCTTCAACTTACGTTTATGTAATGCAATTGTAGGAATAAAAAGTTTTATTTATTTATTTATTATATTAAGATCACTACTGTCGATTGTAATTTCACAATATTCATTAAAAAGTTTATCAAAAGTTCTCACCCATCTATGTTAAATATACTTGGATAAGAAAATTGTTTTTTGATTTTCACCTTTAATACACTTTGTTTGAATTATATCTTTGCTTGAATTATATCTTTGCTTGACTAGTTTATACATATATATTTCACGCTTTTTAGTAGCTACTTTATTATAAAAATCATTAAAAATAGAATTCTTAGCATTACAAATTATTTTCCCAGACTTAATATGAGTCACCTTATAGCTTTTTAAATTCTCCAAGCTCTTATATCTAAATTACCTTTTATAACGATTTTTTATATTTTCTTACACATTATTATTTTACCACCAACTTTTAACATTCATAAAATTTTTGTTTTAATTCTCTAGACATTATTTTCTTGCAATTTGCTTAATGGTATTTGTTATTTTTTTAACATGCTATTAGTTTCGTCATGAACATCTCAAATCTTAAGATCTTGAGGTTTACTCATAAATTTTTTTTTCTCATTTTAAATGCCTTTATAAAATTCTATGATAAGATTATATTGTATTTTTGATCTTTTAACACTTTATCTTAAAATTTAAAACCAATAATCGATCTTGGGTACTTAAACTTTCACTTAAAATGACTTTACAATTTTTGACATCTCGATTATCAATTTTTTTCATAAGAAAATAATAAATTTATTTCTTAGTAGATGTATTCTTATAAGTCATAGTATGCTCATCTTTTTTCTCAAATAAAATATTAGAAATAATAAAATAATATATTCAAATAAAATCTAATATATCCCAACCTTCTTCATTAGTCATTCAAAAATCGTAGTTACCATGCATGTTTCTAAAATTTTCTTTTACTCTATCAATATATTCATTTAAATCTCCTATAATAAAAATTCTTACTTCAAAGTATATCATTTTTATTAATTATTTGAGGTCATTTAAATATTTTTTTTAACATATATCCAAATTTATTTGGGGAGAATAAA